ACACGAATGAACTACAGAGAGGAAGTAAACAATAACAGAACACTGAAAAACTACAGAGAGGAAGTAAACAATAACAGGAACACATATGACTACAGAGAGGAAGTAACATAACAGGAACACAGAATGAACTACAGAGAGGAAGTAAACAATAACAGGAACACAGAATGGACTACAGAGAGGAAGTAAACAATAACAGGAACACAGAATGAACTACAGAGAGGAAGTAAACAATAACAGGAACACAGAATGAACTACAGAGAGGAAGAAAAAAAACAGGAAACAGCATGAACTACAGAGAGGAAGTAAACAATAACAGGAACACTGAATGAACTACAGAGAGGAAGTAAACAATAACAGGAACACATGAATGAACTACAGAGAGGAAGTAAACAATAACAGGAACACAGAATGAACTACAGAGAGGAAGTAAACAATAACAAGGAACACAGAATGAACTACAGAGAGGAAGTAACATAACAGGAACACAGAATGAACTACAGAGAGGAAGTAAACAATAACAGGAACACAGAATGAACTACAGAGAGGAAGTAAACAATACAGGAACACAAATGAACTACAGAGGAAGTAAACAATACAGGAACACAGAATGGACTACAGAGAGGAAGTAAACAATAACAGGAACACGGAAATGAATACAGAGAGGAAGTAAACAATAACAGGAACACAGAATGAACTACAGAGGAAGTAAACAATAACAGGACACAGAATGAACTACAGAGAGGAAGTACATAACAGGAACACGGAATGAACTACAGAGAGGAAGTAACAATAACAGGAACAGATGACTACGAGAGGAAGTAAACATAACAGGACACTAATGAACTACAGAGAGGAAGTAACAATAACAGAACACGGAATGAACTACAGAGAGGAAGTAAACAATAACAGGAACACTGAATGAACTACAGAAGGAAGTAAACAATAACAGGAACAGAATGAACTACAGAGAGGAAGTAACAATAACAGGAACACAGAATGAACTACAGAGAGGAAGTAAACATAACAGGAACACAGAATGAACTACAGAGAGGAAGTAAACAATAACAGAACACAGAATGAACTACAGAGAGGAAGTAAACAATAACAGAACACAGAATGAACTACAGAGAGGAAGTAAACAATAACAGGAACACAGAATGACAGCTGTTATTATCCCCTCGTCTCTCCACACAATCTCCACCTCCTCCAGCCAGCAGGGAAACTTCTCCTCTGCTCTCTACACACACACACACACACACACCACACACACACCACACGCACACCACACACACACACACACACTCCGACCGCTGTCATGAACACACACACACACACACACACCCACACACACACACACACACACCACACCACACACCACACCCACCACACCACACCCACACCACTCTACCGCTGTCATGACACACACACAACACACACCACAACACCACACACACACACACACACACACACACACACACACACACACACACACACACACACACACACACACACTCGACCGCTGTCCATGAACACACACCCACGGAGCAGCAGTAAGATGCCTTAAATGGAAGGCTCACATTTTGCCACATCTTATTTCTTCCACTTTTTTGATGAAATAAAAGCGATGGACAGTTGGAGATACTGATGAGGGTTTATAAGGGGGTCACCCACAAAGCACTTTTTTCAATCATAGTGTGTTGAAAAATATGGGAGAGAAAAGTCATTGCATGGCATTTTAAATATGAAAAAGTATAGTGTACTTTAGAATTTGCTCCACATGTATGCCCCACTGGATGCCAGAAATGCTCCTGTGACTATGATGTGGTGTATAGCTCCACCTGGTGGTCACTCACTGCACATACTCTCCCTCCTCCTGTCTGCAGAGCCTGCCGGCTCCTCTGACCTGTCTGCCTGTGGCCTCCACCTGCCTATCCAGCAGGCTGATGCAGCCACCCTGCCCTCCATCCAGCAGCTGATGCAGCCCTCCACCCTGCCTCCATCCAGCAGCTGATGCAGCCCTCCACCCTGCCTCCATCCAGCAGCTGATGCAGCCCTCCACCCTGGGAAAGACTGCTCTGAGCCACATCAGCATGATCAACTACAGCTACACCTGGAGAAGCTGATGGAGGAGTGGGCAGCTGTGAGAGGGGGGAGCACTGCTGTTCGATCTGCTTCACCTTCTCTTTACAGACACATCTCAATCTCAATCTTTATTTATTTATATAGCACATTTAAAACAACCTTCAGTTGACCAAAGTGCTGTACAGGCAATAAATATTAAATAACACAATGGGAGTACAATAATAAAACAATAATTAAAAACATGATAAAAAGCACAATAACTAGAAAAATATTTTAAAAAACACATACAAATGTAAAAATGTAATCACATCAAAACAAACAGTTTCTGTTCATACACATGTTATTGTATTTTAATATCTATATATGTCTGGCATGTATTGTGAATGTGTTTTTAATGTTGATACATGTATTGTTTCATTAATATGTTTTAAAATGTATTTAATGATTGTAATTCGTTTTTCTTGACGTATTTTCTGTTTTATCAAATAAAATGAATGTTGCCACATCAAATGTGTTAAAGTTGTGATTCAAGACCATCATTCATGGTGATGCGAAAAAAGTTTGTGGAAAATATTAAAAGAAAACGACGCAGTATAGTTTGTTGAAAATATGGGGGAAAAACAATATAGTATAGTATGTAGAAATGTTTCTATATTTTTACATGTCAAAGATTACTATACTATCTATATATAGATTACTATACTTCCGGGTTACAGGCTCTGATAATGTACACATTTCATACATTCATTATTTTTAAAACATTTTCTGTTGCTTAAAACATGTCCATGAAAAAAATGTAAGAAATAAAACGGCATAGTATGTCGAAAATGTGAGATAAACTGTTAGCTATTTTAAAAATCAGCATTCATATAAATACATGTTTACAATAAATATAAAGTCAACTAGGTGAGAATAAGACTATGACAACAATTATTTGCCATGGATAGCCCAACTTTAGCAGGCACAATTCAATGTTAACAAACTAAACATGAAGATGGTTTATTCTGCCATGGCCCCCCCACAGGATGGTATGACCTGTAGACGCCCCGCCCCCTGCTGGCCAGAGACGCTACATAGGCAAGGTCAGCTGACTGATACGGATGACGCAATGGCAACAGCTCACAACAACTTCGCCAGCTCACGAGATGCACACGGAAGAGTGACTGGAGGGAATAAACAGCGATAACTAGAGTTTCCTGTGATTTAAAAGGTCAGTCAATGGCCAAACGTCCACACAAACTTAACAAATACACATAAGCGAAACAAATAAGCAAACAAACACATAAGCGAACAAATAAGCAAACAAACAAACACGTCCCCGCTGTGTTAGCTTACAGCTATGCTAACGCCGCTACAGTTGCTACAGTCCGGCCGAATAAACAAACCGCTCATTGTCAAATTCACCCGAGTCATGGTCACTTCGAAATAATATAATACCATGACATTTCATACTTTGTTTTTAATGGACTGTGATATTTTCGCTTCTGTAGTTGTCAGTGGATGAGCACTTCCGGTTTACAGGCTCTGATAATGTACACACATCACTTCATACATGATTCTCTACATTTTCTCTAGCTTAAACATGGTTTTTCGAGGTATTTAATCCATTTGTGTTGTATGTTTAGCAGCAGATATACTCTGTCTGCAGTGGTGTTAGGGTGCAGTTTTAATTCATAGGCACATTGCCTATCTTGTAGCTATGATGTGTGTGTATAGCTCCACCTGGTGGTCACTAACTGCACATGCTATAAGTCTGTTCTGATATTTTCATTCTATAGTCAGTACCTACTATTCTGACTTCCTGGTGTCTTTTTCTTCTTTTCTCCCCACAGGACTGCGAGGACATTCATCTGACATCAATGAAGACGGTGGCTTCTTGTGTTTCTGAAGAACTTACGGTACTAAACTATGACCATTTATGATATTGTCGACATACTGTACTATGACCATTTCTGATATTTTAGACATACTGTACTATGACCATTTCTGATATTTTAGACATACTGTACTATGACCATTTCTGATATTTTAGACATACTGTACTATGACCATTTCTGATATTTTAGACATACTATACTATGACCATTTCTGATATTTTAGACATACTATACTGACTTCATGGTGTCTTTTTCTTCTTTTCTCCCCACAGGACTGCGAGGACAATCATCTGACATCAATGAAGACGGTGGCTTCTTGAGTTTCTAAAGAACTTACGGTACTATACTATGACTTTTATGATATTTTAGACATACTATACTATGTCGTTTTTTCAAAATGTCTTCTGATATTACTATATTATACTTTTTCATTTTTTATTCACATTTTTCACCCTAATATATTAATCGGTTTTTTTCTAAAACTTCTATACTGTGTCGTTTTTACTGACATTTTCAATCTACTATACTGACTTCATGGTGTCTTTTTCTTCTTTTCTCCCCACAGGACTGCGAGGACATTCATCTGACATCAATGAAGACGGTGGCTTCTTGTGTTTCTGAAGAACTTACGGTACTAAACTATGACCATTTATGATATTGTCGACATACTGTACTATGTCGTTTTTTGGACATACTATACTTTGTTCATTTTTTGCATTTTTATATATTATATATATTTTCATTCTACTAAACTGACGTCATGGTGTCTTTTTCTTCTTTTCCCGGAACACCGAGTGCAAGTACATCTGACATCAATGAAGACGGTGGCTTCTGGAGTTTCTGAAGAACTTACGGTACTATACTATACTATGACCATTTCTGATATTTTAGACATACTATACTATGACCATTTCTGATATTTTAGACATACTATACTATGACCATTTCTGATATTTTAGACATACTATACTATGACCATTTCTGATATTTTAGACATACTATACTATGACCATTTCTGATATTTTAGACATACTGTACTATGACCATTTCTGATATTTTAGACATACTATACTATGACCATTTCTGATATTTTAGACATACTATACTATGACCATTTCTGATATTTTAGACATACTATACTATGTCATTTCTTCTGATATTTTAGACATACTATACTGACTTCATGGTGTCTTTTTCTTCTTTTCTCCCCACAGGACTGCGAGGACAATCATCTGACATCAATGAAGACGGTGGCTTCTTGAGTTTCTAAAGAACTTACGGTACTATACTATGACTTTTATGATATTTTAGACATACTATACTATGTCGTTTTTTCAAAATGTCTTCTGATATTACTATATTATACTTTTTCATTTTTTATTCACATTTTTCACCCTAATATATTAATCGGTTTTTTTCTAAAACTTCTATACTGTGTAGTTTTTACTGACATTTTCAATCTACTATACTGACTTCCTGGTGTCTTTTTCTTCTTTTCTCCCCACAGGACTGCGAGGACAATCATCTGACATCAATGAAGACGGTGGCTTCTGGAGTTTCTGAAGAACTTACGGTACTATGACTATTTATGATATTTTAGACATACTGTACGATGTTTTCTTTTTGCATTTTTCCGGCATTGGTTAGGGTTAGGGTTATGACTTGCTATACATGCTATATTATGACTTTTCTGTCATCGTTATCGACATACTATACTACGCCTTGTCTCTACGCACTAAACCATGCCTTATTTCCACATCAAATACGATGTTTTCTCCGACATTGGTTAGGGTTATGGTTATGGTTATGACTTTTTTGTCATTTTTTCAACATGCTATATTATGACTTTTCTGTCATTTTTTACGAAATAAAATACCACGCCTGGTATCCACACACTATACCGTGCCTTATCATGGCATAACATTATTTATTTTATTTTTTTCAAAAAAAATCGACACTGTCGTTTCTAATTTTTAGAAATTTTTAGAAATGCTATATTATTACTTTTCTGTCATCGTTATCGACATACTATACTACGCCTTGTGTCTACGCACTAAACCGTGCCTTATTTCCACATCAAATACGATGTTTTCATGGGTTAGGGTTATATACTGACTTCATGGTGTCTTTTTCTTCTTCTCTTCCCACAGAGAGTGAAGAGAGGACCCCCCCCCTCCCCCTCCCCCCATCATCGGCTGCCTATGTTGCTGAAAAACTTGTGGACGTTTTCAGCCTTGGGGAAGTATAGCAGACTTAGCAGCCTTTGGGACGTATAGCAGACTTAACAGACTATCGATGTGGCTGTGAGAGGGTTAGGGGTTAGGGTTCACAGCCACTTAGCAGACGACTTGGGGCGGTGGCTGGGGTGCCGAGCGCCCCCCCCCCAGCCCCCCGACTTAGCAGACTTAGCAGACTTAGCAGACTTAGCAGACTTAGCAGGCCTACAGACTTAGCAGACTATCGGCAGTGGCTGCAGGGCCAGTCTCACTGCCAGGAGTGCAGTGAGAGCCGGCAGCCACCTGTCGGCCGCTTAGCAGACTTGGGGACATTTAGCAGACTTGGGGACATTTAGCAGACTTGGGGAAAAGGCTGCACTGCTATGTATGAATTGTATGAATTGTATGAATAAAATGTGAATACAAAAAAAGTTTCTTAAAATTCATTTGTTCATTTCCAGTTCCTAAGAAAGTATCCTATTCACTACTCTCTTACTTCCTAACCCTCCTTTCTTCTATTCCCTTAATTAGCATCCTATTAACCAATTAACCCTATTAACGTATTCATTACCCCTTTATCCTTATCCTTATCTACTCTCTGCAACGTATAAGGCTCGAACCTGCAACCTCTGGCCTACCAACCACCCTTCTATCTGCTTGAGCTATCAGACCTGATGACAGTTCTCTGCTTTTACTTGTATTTGACTTCTTCATCACTGGAAAGACACATTCAAACTCTGCATGGCACAAGACTCAAACTCCTGGGATCTTTAAACCCAGTGGACCACCCAAGGTTTGAACTCACGTTCTCTGGTCTCCAAGACGGGTTCTTATCACAGTGAGCCATCCGACCTGACACAGTTACATGTTCCCTGGCCTACGTGTCATTTTCACCTCAGGTTTGGACCTTAAAATACACAGCTCAAGCACCTCTTATTTGACCTGAGACATTATTGTTTCGTAGAGCTTATGTCTTGTTCATTTGGGTTTGTGGACCTGAAAGATGACTGCACCTGAAGAGCCTTGAACCCACAACCTGCAGTCTCACAGGCAGTCTTCTAACGCTCTGAGCCATCTGACCTGACACAGTATGGGAAGGTTTTGAAGTGGTTTTGCCTTTTTATTTGGGATGATGGACTTGAAGAAACAATGCACCTCACAAGGATCGAACTAACAAACGCTAGGTTTCGGGGCAATGTTGTATCTCTTTGAGCCATTTGTTCTGGCTCTTGTCCTTTTCATTTTCTAATCTAATTCTTCACTTTGGTTGTTGGCTTTCAAAAATCACTGCACCTTAAGAGGATCGAACTTTAGACTTTAGGGTTGCTGAGCGGTTGTGTATCTCTTTGAGCTATTTGATCTGAGCACCTGGTGTCTGGTTTGGTCAACTAACTAATACTTCACTTTGGTTGAAAGATTGCAAAATATCATTGCATTACATTTAGCTGACGCTTTTATCCAAAGCGACTTACAATTACCGATGTCACAACTGTACATGTGCTTTACGCAACGGACCTGAACTCGACACCAGCGCCTTAATGCCGAGAACAGACCCAATCTGGCCACCATCACATGTACATGAAGACCTGTGCTCCGGGCGCATTTATCTTCTTCATTTTGAGTAAAGCACTTTAAAAATCACTATAGCTCACGAGGACTCGAACACACAACCTCAGGTCTTCTGACCTGACACTTATCCCTCTGAGCTATCTGTCCTGACATGATTACGTTTGGAAGAGCTTATGGCCGGTTCATTTGGGTTTATGAACCTTAAAGATTACTGCACCTGGAAAGCCTTGAACCCACAACCTCCTGTCTCACAGTCTGTGTTCTATCCCTCTGAGCCACTTGACCAGTGACTGCTACATCTCATTTGGTAACTTAATTCTCTACTTTGGATGGTTAGACTTAGAAAATGCATGGACCTCACAGGGATCGAACCCAAGACTCCTGCTCACCTGAGCAGCGTTGCATCCCACTGAGCTATTTCATTTGGGACAGTCTTAAGTTGTTTGGTAGATTATGACACAAAGAAAATGTAAAAAAGGGAAATAAAATAAGTCATAGTGTAGTGCATCCAATAAAACTTAACTGAGTTAAGTGTCACACAATTATGCCACCAACATTTGTAAATGAGAAACCCTTCTCTCCACTTTGTTCACATCATTTGGATGTTTTACCTGAAAAACAGGTGCAAATAAAGAGGGTTGAACCAAGACCCTCCAGACATCAAGGTGGTGTCTTATCCCTTTGAGCCATTTGACCTGGGAACATTATTTCCGTTTGGTAATCTAATTCTACACTTTGGGTGCTGGCCTTCAGAACATCTCTGCACCTCATGGGGATCGAACCCAAAACTTCAGCTCACCTGATATTGCTGTTTTAGTCTGCGTTCTTGTAATTAGTGTCTACAGTGAGCCTGTTGAGCCGTGTTGAGCGATGTGGGGCAAGCCCCTCTCTCTGCTGTTCAAATGAATGGGTGCTGTAAAAAGTATTTTTCTATTCAATGTGTGCGGCAAAAAAATAATCACCGTACTGTGCTGGCATACCTACCAAACGTCGTCTCATAATTCAGAGAGCCGATTGGCTGTAAGTATGTGTGCCGCGAAAAGTTTAGATGTGAAGAGGAGACTAGAAGAGCAGCGTATAGCCATTAAAATCAGCGAAAGGGAATGAAGCTGACCGTCTACTTCAGCTTTGGGAAGTTCATTTGACGTCATATCTTTTGTTGATCTTCTGTGTAGCCTATAGGCTATTGCTCTGCTGGATCCATTGATATTGTGACCTCGGTGACGAGTGTCTGTGTTTTCCTTATATCCCCATTATTATTTTCCGTAAATCCAATATAGCACCTTTGGGATGTAGTGGAGAGGAGATTCGCATCATGGATGTGCAGCCTACAAATGTGCAGCGACTGCCTGCTAGCGTGTCAAGATGGACCACAATCTCTGAGGAATGTCTCCAGCATCTTGTTGAGTCTATGCCACGAAGAATTAAGGGAGGCTAAAGGGTCTGACCTGGTACTAGCAAGGTGTATATAATAAAGTGGCTGGTGAGTGAATGTAGATCAAGGTGTTAAAGCCCAACAATGCTCCACCAGCTTTAAAACAAGACTTTATTAATTGCATATTCCAAACAGGGTCAACAAACCAATAATAACAAATCCACACAAAATACTCTTTTCTGGATTTCCATTCGTGTCAACATGTGTGTATCTTTTACTGCATGTAGTGTGTGTGTGTGTGTGTGTGTGTGTGTGTGTGTGAGTGTGAGCCTCTCCAACAAGTAACACAAATAGTGTATCATTACATAGTAGTCCTGAGATTTCCTTCTCCCCCATCCATCAGACGTGAAAGGCATAAAACAGGGCGCCTTGCTTTGTAAGTGGGATAACTCAAGAGAGGTCGAGCTTCCAGGAAGCGGAGGCCCATCGTTATCTGGAGGCTGAAGGAGCGCGAGGGGAGGTGGGGGTGGGGGACACCTTGCGGGGGACACAGAGGACACGTTAGACATGCTCAAACATTTAAAGACGTGAAGTTGATCGTTTTTTTACAAGATCCAAATAAACACATGAATCTGTCTCTCAATGACTCGTTTCCTTTTCCTGTTGGTTGCTCCCAGGCACAGACCCATTGGTTGCTCCCAGGCACAGACCCATTGGTTGCTCCCAGGCACAGACCCATTGGTTGCTCCCAGGCACAGACCCATTGGTTGCTCCGAGGCACAGACCCATTGGTTGCTCCCAGGCACAGACCCATTGGTTGCTCCGAGGCACAGACCCATTGGTTGCTCCCAGGCACAGACCCATTGGTTGCTCCCAGGCACAGACCCATTGGTTGCTCCAGGCACAGACCCATTGGTTGCTCCCAGGCACAGACCCATTGGTTGCTCCCAGGCACAGACCCATTGGTGCTCCCAGGCACAGACCCATTGGTTGCTCCCAGGCACAGACCCATTGGTTGCTCCCAGGCACAGACCCATTGGTTGCTCCCAGGCACAGACCCATTGGTTGCTCCCAGGCACAGACCCATTGGTTGCTCCCAGGCACAGACCCATTGGTTGCTCCCAGGCACAGACCCATTGGTTGCTCCCAGGCACAGACCCATTGGTTGCTCCCAGGCACAGACCCATTGGTTGCTCCCAGGCACAGACCCATTGGTTGCTCCCAGGCACAGACCCATTGGTTGCTACTGAATATGTAATTCAAGCTTTACTCAGTGCAGTAAATAGTGCTTTTGTTGTAGACACAGTCTACACAATGAACCACAATGAACTACAATGCCCATATCCCACGAGGGAACCAGAGTGTTGTTTTATTAACCGATGTGCGGGGGTGTCCTCTGAGCTTAGAAACAAATCTGAAGAAATGTTCAATTGGTCAAACTATTCGGCCGATTTTATTTTGTAAAACGGCTGTATTTCAGAAACTACGATAATCACAACAAATATCTATTAACTTAAACGTTGAATATCAAAGATAAACACGTATACAGATGGAGCGTTTTATTTAGGACAGTTTGAAACGCGAGGGTCGTGGTTAAAACTAAATATAGTATTTGCAGAATAAAAGGTAAATCGTTTTTTGAAAATAATGCAGCTATGATAACGTAATATAACGTAACCCATGGCAACTGAACAGTTGAGTGGATCAGAGCCGTCTGGTGAGCTGTTACCTGGACAGAGCGCAGTGTCTCTCCATGAGAGCCTTCAGGTCCTCGCTCTCCTGCTGGCTCTCATCATCTTCACACTCTTCTTTGTCTGGAAAGACAAAACTCAAATAACTCAACCATTCTTCTTAAATGTCGGTTGCTCTTCAGTAATCCTCCTGATCATGTGCCTCACCAGTTTGTCGATCTCCAGCATCTTCTTCTCCTGCCAGTGCAGCTGCTTTGTTTTCATACGCAGCAACACTTTGAGGCGCTCCTGCTCCAGATCGAGGGTCTGGGAGTCCTTCTGCAGGGACAGAGAACAAGAGATGTTCAGGGACTGTCAGGAAAATGAGTACAGCCAGGGTTGTTCATTTTATGTGGACATAAATCCAGAAACACACAACAGAGGGCGCCATGCATCAGGGACAACGAAGCTCTGGATGTTTAGCTGTCATAGCGAAGGTAGTGTCCTCTTTAAGAACAAGGAGGTGATATTGAGCTGTTGCTTGTGCAGCTCTCATCTTGTCCTATCAATAATAATGTGAGGGAGTAACATTAATGACTCCACTGTGCCAGAGCAGAAAGATGAGCAGCCACTTTACTCTGATGAAGAGCGGCATCCTCGCCAAACTGCACTCTGGGAAACAGAGCTGTAGGTTGAGAGTTGAACCCACTCCTGTTCACGCTGTTAAAGAATGATTGGGGGGGGACATGTTTATCCCTAAGGGTCTGACCATCTTAGTTTTGGCCGCACAGTTATACTGTAGGAGCTGATGTTCAACTTCCAATATTTGAAAAAACTAACAAACTTCCCCCCGATGTCAAGATCGATGCCGTTTGCATTAACACAGCCAACATATTTATTTTTAAATAATTTTTGTAATACGGTATTTCTTTTTGGTTAGTTTGTGTTTTAGGATCACTTAATGGATTGAACTGTCACTTGAGCAAAATATAATATCATGTGACTACAAATAAAGAATATTAACAAAAGCAGAAATGTCCCCTAGTGAGGCACAAGAGAAACTGAGAGGTGTTGGTGTGTGGGTCATCTCTCTGCTATCGCTCCTGCTTAGAGGCTATCACTGGGTCATGAGATGCTCCTAAAGTGGCGCTCTGCTATAATAAGCACACGGATAAGAGGATAATGTTGCTCTTCTGTCTATATTGGTCATATGATGCCCCTTGACTGAAATGTTTCCTGTTCAATATCCCCACTGATTTCCTTAAAATCCTGGGATGAGAGTCCACATCTCAATTTACTCTCAACTGTCATTTCCCTTTCATCACTCACCTCAGCAATGGACCTCTCTCTCTGTCCCTGTATTCTGCCTCTGACTCACTCTCAAGTGCCTAGATGTCAAGAGAGGTGGTGAAGTGATCATTATTTATTGAGCAGTATACTCTTTCACATTGAATCATAACAAGTCATACTGAATGTAAACACAACTGACTCTAAAGTAAGTCCCAGTCTGTGACATTGGACATTTTGAAGACTCAAAGTCCCAAGCAGTAGGTAGAATATTAGCTAGTCTATGTAATGTGCACAGAAAATAAATAGTTAACTGAATACTGGGATGGAAATAGCCTATAAGCACTCAGTAAAACATAAACACAGGAGGATTTCATAGTTTTTCTCAGTCACTTTAAGAACAAAAGGTCCCAAGGGAACACGAGCAGAGAAAAAGTGTTAGCGGAAAATTACTTTCAATAATTTTCCAAAACTTTGAATTCTTAAAGAAATGCATTTTTTCCAGGGACACAAAGAAACATATTTCCCCAAGAACATGGTTTCCCAGACAGTAAGAGTATTTGTATGTCTAGTGTGTACATGTTATCTGTGTTTTCATGCAGCTCACACATACTTGGGCTTGTGCGGGGGCCCGGACTGGCCCGGACTGGCCCACCAGTGGGATCTCAACAGCAAAGCCCCGGGCTTTAGCGTACTTCCGAAGACCCAACACTGCGTTTTTATTGAGGTGTTTGATGAGGACCCCGACCCCTGCCTCGAGAGCCGCTCGTCTGCAGTCTGAGGGGCAAAGAGGGACATGTAGTGCATCCTGTTTTCCCTGATGATACGTGATTCTGATTGGCCAGAAGACATTATCAAAGATGTTCTATTGAGAAGACGATCACTACGTGACAAAAGTTTTCAAAACAGTTTCTAGTCTTCGTATTCTTGTTTTTGGCGTGAGAATAGTTTGGGCAGCGTGAGAGCGTGAGATTGACAGTGAAAGCGTGTGTCACACGCCAGATGCGTGAGAGTTGGCAACCCTGAGCTAGCTAGCAAAGAGGGACATGTAGTCCCAGACACTGCCATCGATATCACTGGAGGAGCCCAGGGGCAACTGAGGCTTTGATTGATTGATTGAAAAGTTTATTAACAGCTTGTATATTGGGTACAGTACAGTACAGCTCAAAACATACAATTGTTAAGGGGATGCAGACCAGAGAAAGACTTTCGTCTTGTTTACATCAGGGTCCCCCATTTCCAATTCATCATATCATTTAAGACATATAAGACATATATGACATACAGATGGCTTATTTACAATTTTCATTTTAGATTTCGTTCTAATACATCCTAACCGGACATTTAAGACATACCAAGTCTACAGATATACAGTTAGTAACAGAGTCTAAAATGCGAGTATATATATGGGGGGGGGAAGCTGTCCATTGTACGACAGGTTGAGATTTGTACCATTACCGGGGCCAGTTTTGCAATGCTCTCCCCCGAAGGTGCTCTTTAAGAGAGGTTTTGAAGGTAAGTATAGTTTTACAGGGAAGAGCGTTCCACCTTGATGTGGCATAATTGCGAAACGTGTATTCCCCTTTTTTTGTGCCAAATCTGGGTTTTACATGATTTGTGGAGCTCCCTCTGGTGTTATGATCATGGTATTCCTTGACCTTTGGGAAGAATGTTGACATGTACATGGGTACCATAGAGGTGTAGTGGATCTTGTAGACCAGGCCCATTGCAAGTAGCTGTACTCTGTCGTCTACTCTAAGCCATCCTAGGTTGTCAAAGTGGGCAGAGGTGAGGTGGGTTCTAGATGAAAGGTCAAGCAGTAGTCTGACCAGTTTATTTTGCGATGTTTGAAGTTTTATTTTTAGCGCCTTGGAGGTGCTATGGTACCATGACGTGCAAGCATAGTCATAGTACCCTTGAATGAGTGCTCCTGCCAGAGTTTTCAGGGTGTTTTTGTTTACCAGAGAGGAGATCCGGTATAGGAATCTAGTTCTTTGATTGACTTTTTTTATTACATTGGATGCCATTTTGTCACAGGAGAGGTTTGCCTCAAGAATAGATCCTAGGTATGTAATTTCCTTCTTACTTGTGACAATAATGTCACCCACTGCAACTGAGAAGTCGTCGGATTTGCTGAGATTATGTTTCGAACCGAAGAGAATGGACTCTGTTTTACCCAGGTGTAATGATAATTTATTATCGGCGAGCCAGGTGCAGATTCTGCCGAGCTCGGAGCTGAGGGTTTTTTCAACCTGCAATCTGCTCCTGTCAGAGACCAGCAGGGCTGAGTCGTCCGCGAACAGGCTGAGAGGGGAGAAGGAGAGATTTGAACAGTATTGAGCAGATTGAGCAGAACAGCGTGACAGAGGCCACACAATCATTTATTTCAGCCTCCAGGGCGATCTGCTAGTTTTCTAAAGACATTATACTCATTTTGAAGATGTGCAAAGCCCTTCTCTTCCCTCCTATATAAAGAACTTGAGTTTATTCTCTGTCTCCGAGTCCTCACCTTGTTGCAGTCTCCCGTCAGCCATTAACGCTTTCATGGCCTCTTCTGCAGCAAGCTGGCTGCCTTCCTGGTCGGAGCTGAGGCCTCTCTAAACAAGCTCTCTCCGACCTTCACCCTTTGATTGGTGCGGGTGGGGATGGATAGGAGGCAGCGGGAAGGGGTGTAGTGGTGCAGCAGGTCTGTGAGTTATGAGGGAGGGGCAGCGACAGAGAAGGCTCTGTCCCGCCCCATGTCCGGTGATTGGTGCGGGTGGGGATGGATAGGAGGCAGCGGGAAGGGGTGTGGTGGAGAGAACGCCGTCCGGATGCGTTTGGGTTTCCTGGAGAACGGGCCGTGCAGAAGCATGTTCTCCGGACTGCCGTCGTCCCCTGAACACAACACGGGGGTTAACACTCTGAGATATCAAGCAGTGGAAGAAACAGCATTCAAAACCTCGCATTAAAGATCTACATCTTTCATCACTGCAATGCATTTGAGCAGCCTGAGCAGCATATGTTGCTAATGCGCGGAGGACCGAGCCCCGTTCAACTCACCAGCAACACAGAGTGGGCCTCCAGTAGCCACACTTTCTCCTTCAACCCCTTCAATGTTGGGGAGGTTTGTAAGGCTCTAAAGGGCCTAGACCCCAAACAATCAGCAGGCCCGGACGATCTCCCCCCTTATTTCTTACGGCTAGCTGCAGATATTTTAGCCAAACCACTGTGTCATGTTTTTAATCTTTCTATAACAAACAATGTCATTCCAGATGTTTGGAAAACTGCAAATGTTCTCCCCTTATTGAAAGGTGGTGATCCCATGGTGATGAATAATTACAGACCCATTTCCAAGCTCTCTATTTTAGCTAAAGTACTTGAAAGGCTGGTGAATGATCAAATCAAAGAATATTTAAGCTTGAACAACATCCTGTCTCCTCACCAGTCAGGCTTTAGGAAGCAGCACAGTAACAGCTGCTTTGAAAGTAGTGAATGACATTGTTGAAAGCTTGGACGCAAAGAGCTACTGTGCTGCCCTTTTGATAGACTGATCCAAGGCTTTTGATTCTGTGGACCATGAAGTGATCTCATAGAGGCCTGTCTGACCAAGCTGCTGGTGATACTGTGGACCATGAAGTGACCCCATAGAGGCCTGTCTGACCAAGCTGCTGGTGATACTGTGGACCATGAAGTGATCTCATATAGGCCTGTCTGACCAAGCTGTTGGTTGGTTTGAAAACTACCTTTCGAATCGCAAGCAATGTGTAAAATCCAGCGGTCTCTCCTCAAGCTTTCTTAATGTGCCCAGAGGTGTTCCTCAAGGGTCGGTCTTGGGACCGACCCTTTTTACTATTTATATAAATGATGTGGGTCAAAGCATTGATGCCTCTGTACATCTATATGCAGATGATACTGTTGTGCTGGCACTGTTGCCCTTTGAACGTCTGCAGTCTGCTTTTGACACTTTTCAGTCACATCTGTTCCACCTCAGGTTGGTGTTAAACTCAGATAAGACAAAAGTCATGTTGTTTTCCAATAAGAAAAGGTTACCAACTGTTCTTCCCTGCATCATGTCTGCACAGCATAACCCCATTGAAGCTGTTAACACCTACAGATACTTAGGCATCACTATAGATGACAATCTCTGCTTCAAACAGCATATTGACAATCTCTTAAGGAAATTAAAACTGGGATTCTTTTTTAGAAATAAGGCCTGCTTCTCCACAAGTGCGAGGAAACGGCTTGTAGCTGCCACATTTTTGCCGCTCTTGGACTACGGGGATGTTGTGTACATGAACGCCTCAGCTCACTCCCTTCATCTGCTGGACGCTGTCTACCATGGGGCTCTGAGGTTCATAACCAACTGTAACCCCCTCACACACCACTGCACGCTGTCTACCATGGGGCTCTGAGGTTCATAACCCACTGTAAACCCCTCACACCCCACTGCACGCTGTCTACCATGGGGCTCTGAGGTTCATAACCAACTGTAAACCCCTCACACACCACTGCACGCTGTCTACCATGGGGCTCTGAGGTTCATAACAAACTGTAAACCCCTCACACACCACTGCACGCTGTCTACCATGGGGCTCTGAGGTTCATAACCAACTGTAAACCCCTCACCCCACTGCACGCTGTCTACCATGGGGCTCTGAGGTTCATAACAAACTGTAAACCCCTCACCCCACTGCACGCTGTCTACCATGGGGCTCTGAGGTTCATAACCAACTGTAACCCCCTCACACACCACTGCACGCTGTCTACCATGGGGCTCTGAGGTTCATAACTAACTGTAACCCCCTCACCCCACTGCACGATGTCTACCATGGGGCTCTGAGGTTCATAACTAACTGTAACCCCCTCACACACCACTGCACGCTGTCTACCATGGGGCTCTGAGGTTCATAACCCACTGTAACCCCCTCACACCCCACTGCACGCTGTCTACCATGGGGCTCTGAGGTTCATAACAAACTGTAACCCCCTCACCCCACTGCACGCTGTCTACCATGGGGCTCTGAGGTTCATAACTAACTGTAACCCCCTCACCCCACTGCACGCTGTCTACCATGGGGCTCTGAGGTTCATAACAAACTGTAACCCCCTCACCCCACTGCACGCTGTCTACCATGGGGCTCTGAGGTTCATAACTAACTGTAACCCCCTCACCCCACTGCACGCTGTCTACCATGGGGCTCTGAGGTTCATAACTAACTGTAAACCCCTCACACACCACTGCACGCTGTCTACCATGGGGCTCTGAGGTTCATAACTAACTGTAACCCCCTCACACACCACTGCACGCTGTCTACCATGGGGCTCTGAGGTTCATAACTAACTGTAAACCCCTCACACACCACTGCACGCTGTCTACCATGGGGCTCTGAGGTTCATAACTAACTGTAACCCCCTCACACACCACTGCACGCTGTACTCTTTAGTCAACTGGACATCATTATCAATGCGCAGATCACTGCACTGGTACAAACTCATCTATACCGCTATGCTTGGACTGCTGCCCCTCTACATATCCACTTGCATATCACACAAACAGTACAGCTATAGCCTACCATCTCAACATGACATCACTCTGTCCGTCCCCTCAGTTCGCACGGTGCTTGGGAAAAAAAGCCATATCATACTCTGCCCCCTCGACCTGGAACACACTTCAGCAGGAACTCAAGCTGACCAGTTTGATACCCATCACGGATTTTAAACTCATTTTAAAAAAGCTGGAGAAATCACCTGTGGGTGTTTGCACCTGCTTTAACTGCTGTGTGGATTTAGGTGACTGCTTTTTTTACGATGTTGTTGCCTCTGTTTGGTGTCCTGTCTGTAACTGTGTGTGGTAGTGTTACCACTGACAGGTCTCTCTTGGAAATGAGACCTTGTGTCTCAATGAGATTTGAA